TAATCAATCTCCGAAGAAGGTTTTGCAGATCGCGTCGATCTCAAATCGTACTAATTGCAGCACATTCCTATATGTTTACAATAAAATGAATGTTCTTCATTAAAATATTATGCACTGCTATTAATTTAACTTAACTGTATAAACTTTAATAATAAATAAATATTTTAAAAGGAGTTAACGCAGTTAAGATTGAAGTTAAGCAAGCGGTGCCCGCGTATTATAGCGATAGTTTCAAAGTAGCCCTTTGTCCAAGTTCTGTTGGACACCACTGGTCTAAGTGGATTGTCACCCTAGTGACAAGCAATTAGGAACTTTGCCATTTTGATTCGACAACTCGTGAAACCTACAGCCATTTGGCGGCTTAAATGAATTTTAGTACGTAATACAATACAATGAAACTCGCTTAAGTACCCCCCCGCTTAAGCTCCCAACATTTTTGGGCAAGGTGAATTTTTTAATGTATTCTGAAGAAAATCCCTCTTTTAAGTACCTCCACGCTTATGTACCCATCCCGCCTAAGTACCTAAACTTTTCGTAACCCATTTACCATTTTACTTATAATTTTCCCCTTTTAAGTGCTTTTTTTTTAAATTTCTTCAGAAGTTTACATATGTTTAAATTCAGCTACACATCTTCGGAAAAAAATCCAAAAAATCAATGCTAATTTTTAGCCACTTGAAACTTGCGCATTATTACACTAAAATTGAATGAGCTAGTTATAAAAGTGTGTAGTCATAAACATTTTAACACTTCTGAAAAACAAGTTTGAAATTTTGATGATTTTTTCAGTGTTCTGCAAAATTTTAAGCTCATATTTTAATGGCCTTATTCATAAAAAATAAAGTAGGTTTAAAGAGCTTTGTAAAGTGACGTTTTCATACATTGTTCAGTTTATATATCATTTTGAATAAATATATATAATCAATGACTTTTTAATTTAATTCTTGTGAAAATGACACAACATTGCTTTATCTGTTTTTTTTTTTTTATACAGATTTCCTTTATATGTTTCTTCTTTAAATAATGCTACGAGCTTGGTGTTAAATTACGTACACTTCAGTAAATGTTCATGTTTTATTAATTTTTTTTTTATGTAAGTTAACAAGAAGATGTAACTACATCAAGAATTATGTTCGCTTAAGTACCCGCATCGAGGTACTTAAGCGGGTTCTTTTAAGTACCCAACCCGCCGAAGTACCTCAAAAAGCTGACATTTTTCGTGAGGTACTTAAGCGGGTTTTACTGTATGTCATACAGCAGTTGCACTCTAAAACATTCTACTTGGCCTTCAACTGGTCTTAAGTCTTTTTAAGTCTTTTAATATGCTTCTTAAGTTAAGTTTATCACGCAGTTCTTTAGCCTCTTCTGTAAAATTATCGTGGAAAGCGAAGTTTTGCATATTTTTATAATTGGAAAAAATTTATTTGAAGGGAATAAATCACCAAAAATCGCCAATGGCGATTTCCTAAGTTTTTACACGCAAATATCAAAATTGCCAAATCCGGACACTCTGCGTGGGACACACCTTGCTAGTTCGTCAGCTCTCTCCTAAGTCCTCCATTAAAGCGCAGTTATCCACGGACGTAAAAACGGAGAACGTGCCTGCTGACACAATCTATTTTATGGGAGCTGCGTGCTAACAAGAGGTCCATTCAATAACGTTTCCCGTAAGTACTTGCAGCGAGAGCGTAAAAGAAAAATAGAGAGTAAAATTGAGAGCAAGAGAAAATGTTCAAAAAAAGTTATTGAACGCAAAACTAGTAAAAAATTGCAACTTAAGTCATTTTGACACTTTCTGACGGTTAAGTTTTGGCGCGCTATTTTCTTTTTAATTGGGAACAGTTCCCATCGTCATAAAAATAAAAACAATATACAATAGATTTAAATTTTTCATCCACATTTTCATTTCACTAATTATGGTTCATCAAATCATCCTCTTAAATAGTTTGTTAATATTTGAATTTGAAATATAACCTTATTTTTTGACTCCTGCAAATTCCTGCTAGTAAAATTTTTACTTGCAAGAATTTGCAGCTCTCGCGGGTTGTTACGCTCTCGAATTCGCCGCTCTTGCAAATATTTTGGGTTATTGAATGCATTCCCAATAAAAACTTGCAAGTACTAGCAACAATTCGTAACAATTTTTTGATATTGAATGGACCTAAGATCTCACCACCGTAGACATTGCTTCTCTCTCTTTCTTTCAACAGCAAACTTGATACTTCTACGCTACGCAACTTACACAGAATATGCAGTAAAAAATCTCTTCGCAGTTTTTCGCCAATTGGTCCCCGAGGAGTACTTTTGGATGGTGTGCAGTGTTTTCGTTTTGCTCGCACGGCAACACTTATTGTGGGAAATTTCGCCTCAAGATTATAAAAAGGTAAGTGCGCCTGGGCCACACTGGGGAAGTGAAAGTTACGTTATTTACATACATATCTATTTTGTCTCATAACCAATATACATACATACAGTATCGGTCATATCTATAGCACGCCATTTCCAAGTGATATTGTGTGCCCCTTATGTTTATTTATTTATTTTTAAGAATTTTCAATTAAAATTTAGTTCATTATCAGACAAACCCCATATATACCCTAGTTCAACAATTTGTAGAAATTACAAAAAAGTGTAACAAAGTTCCACCTAAATTTGAAACTTTTTTCCCGGAAGTGTTAGAATTTTTTTAAGTACACAGTTTTTTAGCCCCTGCTATTTTAGTCTGATAATGTGCAATTTCAAGTGGTTACGATTACCGTTAATTTTTAAGAATTTTTTTATCCATTGGCTTCCATATAATGTATAAACTCAATTTATTTGTATATGGAAGAAAACCGCAACACCTTTGGCGAAAATAATTCTAAAAAATCAACGGTAACTTTAAGCCACTTGAAACTTGCACATTATTAGACTAAAATTGATTGGGCTATAAAACTGTGTATTCAGAAAAATTCAAACACTTCCGAGAAAAAAGTTTGAAATTTAGGTGAAAATTTGTTGCACTTTTTTGTAGTTTTCTAAAAATTTTTAAACTTGGGTTTATATGGGTTTTGTTAGAGAAAGAACTGTGTTTTAATTGAAAATTCTTAAAAATAAGTAAATAAACACAAGTGGCACACAATATCACTTTCAAATGGCGTGCTATAGATATGGCCGATACTGTACATATGTATGTACATACACACATCTGCTTTTGCTTAAGGTTATATTTTTTGTCTTTTTTCTATCTAGATCCCTAGCTCTACCCCTGTTCGTTCTAATTACATTTATGTTATTCTGTTTTCCTTTATCTTCATTTTTATCTTTATACTATATCGATAACAAAATCGATAATGACATCCAATGAAATATCGATAACAAAACCGATAAAAACATCGATTACAAAATCGATGAAAAATTCGATAAAAATCCCGATAGCAAAATTTTTAATATTGGTTGCAAAATCTATTAGAAACTTGATAAAATATCCATAACAAAATCGATAAAAATATTGATAACAAGTAAGAAAGTCTAAGTTCGGGCGGAGCCGAACATTAAATACCCGGCGCAAGTATTAAATATATGTTTTCCACCTTTCCGAAATATTGGTTTCAAGCATTTCTGAAATTCACCGTTATATGAAAAGCGGCCGTAATTTTAGTTCGATTTCAATAATTTTCAGCGTTTTGCTTCTATGTGGCAAGTACAATAACCACACCGAGTTTGGTACAAATTGGTAGAACGGTTACCGAGATACATATATATAATCATAAGTGGGCGGTGCCACGCCCATTTTCCAAAATTTTATTATAAACGTTTTTCTTGGTAAAGAATTGTTTCAAGCATAAATTTTGAATAAATTAGCTTTAGTATTTACGAATTTATAGAAGATTTCGCATTTCTCTAAATTACCGTTATATGGGATGTGGGCGTGGTTATTGTTCGATTTTAAAAATTTTCGGCCATTTCGTATGTTATACTAAGGTCAACAACTGTGCCAAGTTTGGAAGAAATTGGTGCAGCGGTTACCAAGATATACACATGTAACCATAAGTGGGCGTGGCTACGCCCATTTTCCAAAAATTTATAATATTCTTATTTTTCGTCTAAAACTTATTGTAAATATCAATTTTGAGTGAATAATCTTCAGTAGTTACTAAAATATCGCAGTTTACGTATTTCTGAAAATTGCCGTTATATGGGAGGTAGGCGTGGTTATTGTCCGATTTTGCCCATTTTCAACACCATCCGTCCTACGCCAGAAAGAAGTGGACGTACCAAGTTTCGTTAAGATATCTCAATTTTTACTCGAGTTATCGTGTGCACAGACGGACGGACGGACGGACAGTCACCGCTTAATCGATTTCTCTTTTCATTCTGGTCATTTATGTATACATTTGTCTATATCTATATCGATTCGTTTTGCCTGTTACAAACAACCGTTATGTGAACAAAGTTATAATACCCTTGTGCGCAAGTGCGCTCGGGTATAAAAATATTACCAAGAATGAGTAACAAATCAGTTTAGTTCCAAACTACAGACAACGGTTTACTGGCCCATTCAAAGCTGCCCTACTTACTACAAGTTAACATTTGTACATTAATATAACACAGTGTTATGTAAAAAGAAAATCGCTTTGAGCGATCGTGTTAAAGCAGCGGCGATTTAAAGACTATTCAGAAATTTGAAAGTTTCCAAATATGATCACTTCCGGTATGTGTCTACGATAAAAGCTTTTGCCAACTAAACACGGTCATACTCGTAGAACATTAAACAAATCTACATAAACATTAGTTTTTAATCAATATGACATTCTAACAAGTGGTTTGGGGGATTGCTCCACCATGAAACAGAGGCGATTTACCTATGCACCAAAATAGGTACATACAAATGTGTACATTTTTACATTCATGTGTGCATATGTACGTATCTATGTACGTGATTATATGAATGTGAGCAAATATTGAAGGCAAATGGGTCAAAAAGCAAATTTGTAAGCAATCAGCTGTTGTCAGTTCGTTCGCGCGAGTCGTTCTCAACGGCTGCGGGTTAGTGGTGTTGCAAAATCGATGCATTAGTGAAAATAACAAACCGAAAAAAAAAACACTAAATGTACATACATAGATAAGAGTATACAAATTTTTGTAGTAAAGGCAAACTAGATTAAGATGGCAAGCTAGTAAGCAAACCATATAAAAAATTTTTGGAAGAAATAGATAGCAAAATCAGTGTAAAGTAAAAAGAGCTCATTTACTTACTAGAGTGGAAATACTCGGCGGGTCATTTGTGACTATTTGATGGTGAAACGAGAATAGTGGCTGCGTCATTCAACGCGTTCGGCTCCAATAAAGCACCGCTCACGCTGAAGTGGGAGAGCAGTGTTTTCTGTGTTTGTTGGGATTTGTGTATATATTTATGCATGTGTTCAAGAAAGTTCTTAAAGTAAATAGAAACAAATAAATACAGTGGGTGATAGTGATTGTCAAAATCAGCTGTGCAGTCCTGATAACAAGTGACACGGTAAACCGGGCGAAAGGGAAGTGTGAAACGAAGTGGTACAGATAAAACAGCTGATCTAATCCATATATGAAGAGGTAAGTAAAGATACACATAGTACGTACTTACGTACGTACATACGTATCCATACATACATACGTATACATACATACATACGTATACATACATGCATACATATATGGGTATGTATATATGCATGTAGGCATTTCTGGTCCACTGAAATAACGACAAAACTCAAAATATAATGTTTCTGAGTTATACAGCGGATTACAGTGAAACCTCTCCTAACGGACACCTCTATTAGACGGACATCTCCCTTGGGCGGACATTTTTTCCTATACCAAGTTTTAAGTATAAATTTCGGAACAAATTACTCTCTCTTAAGCGGACACTCTCTTGGCCGGACGCGGACAGTTATTTTGCATAAAATTGACACAAAAACTCTATTGGGCGGAGATTTCTTTTCATAACAAATCAAACAAAAACCTCCGTTGAGCGGACGCGACCTCCTCATAGGCGGACTACTAAATGGAAAAAGGGGACTTCCCGCACAAAATGTGATTGTTATGCACACATTTAGTTTGGTTTGCGCAGTGGTTTAGGTTCGTTATTTGAATTGTCAGAAACCCTTGGAGACTGATAAAAACATGAAAACTATTGATGAAAAAGGTACTGACACTGAAAAAAATTAAAAATAAAACTTACGTCAATCGACAATTTCCCAGGTTTTTATGTAATGAATCTATGGTTTTATGTAGTTTATGGACTAAAATGTAAAATTTATTTTTATTTTGTTATTACTTAATATGTACTTACGCACATAAATGAAATGTGCATTTTTGAAAAAATAGGTACATGCACATTTTTGTTTGAACGATGTAATATCAATATCTCTTATTCAAATAAGAAATAGTGACTATTCAATTAATTAAAACATTAAAAAGTTCTAAAACAGGCTTCCCCTCCATTAAGCGGACACCTCTCTTGGGCGGACAACAAATGACTGACGGTGAGTGTCCGCCCAAGGGAGGTTTCACTGTATATGGATATGCTTTTCTGTAGAAAATCAGAATGTCGCACACCGTCTTCAACAGAGTCACAACGAAAAATAATACGTTTGTCAGAAAATGCGAAAAACTATTTCTTAACACATGATAATCATACGGGCAAGGGCGACTTTACCTTAGGTTTTTTTTAACAAATTAAATCAAAAATTTGCTCAGCTTTTTCTGACAGGTAAATAAAAGATCTGCATGCATTTTTAGCGCATAATCTCAAAAATGCCAAATTTTAAGTTGTGACTCTTTCGAAGACGGTGTGCGATGTGCTTAGTTGTTATTACTGCAACAGAGGGAAGAATTGTGACATTTGTTAGAAAATCGGAGTAGGCAACTCTTAAACAACTTTGGCGTTGGCGTCGCTTCGCCATCTGGGCATATGTGCGTACATACATTTATATTAAGGTTTTTATACAACCAAAGATAGCCAAAGCCGACACAAAAGCAAATAAAAACGGTGACCAACTCTCAACTTTTCGCGTGTGTCCATCCTTTTTTTCCTTTCTAATCGAATTCCGTTACGATATGATACCATATAAATACTTTCGACATTACATACCGATATATTATACTCGATAGTTTTAAACGATAACTTTTTAGAAACAATTACCTGTATCCCCGTATGCTATACGTAGTAGATCTGCAAATACATCGTTGTCAGTATGGAGTACATGGTTGTCGATCGATCGATTTTTTCGATATCGGGTATCGATATTTTCTTAATTACTTATTTAAAGGACTGAAATTTTGGTAAACTACAAATAAAATACTAGCCAATTATCTTCTATACTAATTATATAAAGAGAAGTCCCTTTTTTGTAACAGGTAATCTCGCGAACGGCTGATCCGATTTTCATGAAATTTTTTATATAAATAGCTTTCAGCAACCACCATGTTTTAGTTTTTTCTGGTAGGTGGACCAGGGACCGATATATTCGAAAAAATCTTATTATGGTTAGGGTGGCCAGATATTATAATGACATAATCAGTACAGTTGGGATCAAAAATCAGTACAAAGTCATAAAAATCAGCTAATTTTTAAGCGTATTTTTTATTATTAACAATATAACAACCAAATAACAGCGCATTAATTTAACAAAAAATAACTAATAGACTTTTAAATACATATAGTATTATCAATATAAAAATTCATTACTTTAAAACAAATCAAAGGTATTACGTATGTATGTACAGCTGTGCTCAGGAAAATAGTAGTGAAATGTATTAACAGGTTTTGAATTTTTTTTTATTTCCTTACTTAATTTAAAATTTTTATAAAAATATAGTTAATTCTATAACAAAAGACATGTGAGTTGAAGTCTCAAACTTTCCAGAAAATATATAAAAATTGAGAAAAAAAAAATTTGTAGCCCATTCAGTTTCAGTAGAAGCCGAGCTCGAGCCAGAATCTGTTTGCATATTTTAAGCTACAAATTTAAAACTCATTTAGTTGGTGTGCTTATTAAATACAGCATTCACATTAAAATGTTGACTAAAAGGTATATTACCGAATTATCGGTAAACGAATTTTCGAGTACGAATGAAATTTAATAGTGTTAAATGTGTATGTGCAAGTAAAATTACAGGTGGTAGAAGATCAAAAATCAAAGTAAAGCTATATATATCATATTCATGAGTCGGTAGTTTGCACCTTTTCCAAATTTTTATACCTTTCATGAGCATGACATGCAGCGTTGCCGTTTTGGTCCAATTGGACCAAAATTGGTAGCTTCATTCTCCGTTGGTAGCTTGGTTGGTTTGATGAAGTTTTTGGTAGGTAAAATTGTTTTGAAAATACAACCAAATTGATCATTAAAATTTGTTTGTTTAATTTAAGTTTACACGTTCAAAACACTGCTTTCTCTTTGCTTACACGTATAAGATTTCTTTATTTTTTTCTATATTTTATTAAGCAGACAATTTTCTGAAAATAAAAACTCACTTCCCAAAGCTACGACCGATTAGCTGTTGAAATTAATGAGAAATTACCTATTGTCTTGAAAGAAAAATTGGTGATATGCAATTTGCAAAATGTGAGTGTATTGGTAAAAAAGGATGAGTGTATGCAAATTGAATCAAATTTGGAATTTTTTTATTAAAATGCATAAAATGTCTGCTTTATTTTGTTTTTTCGCACACAAAAAAAAATGTTTGATATGAATTGAATCAATCTCAAAGATATTTACATATTTTACAAACGTTTTTTATACAGTAACTTAATTATTTTATTTAAAGGCCCGAATTTCTTTTGTTTAATCTTAAAGATTGGTGTGAATAATTAACCAATAATGTAAAAAATATTATGTGTAGTTTTAATTTTTACTGCTAATTTGTGTAGCTAAAAACCCCGCAAACTCGAGAAATCTCGTTTTAATGATGAACGAATTTTGGTAGTTTGGTAACTGATTTGGTAGGCGTTTTGGAACCTAAAAATATTTGCAAGTGGCAACACTGATGACATGGTATTATAACTTTGGTCTGATGTTTGTAAGTACCAGAATGAAAAGAGATAGACCCATTAAAATGTATACTTATATGGTCAGAACGTCGAGTTGAGTCGATTTAGCCATGTCCGTCTGTCCGTCTGTTTGTATGCAATCTAGTCTCTCAGTTTTCGAGATATCCGTATAAAATTTGGTAGGTGGGTGTATTTTTATAATGTATTAATCATTTGTCGGAACCGGAAGAATCGGACCACTATAACATATAGCTCCCATACAACTGATTGTTAAGATATGAGATTTTTCGTTATGACTTCTCCATTTATGCAGCTAGGAACATGAAATTTTGCAGTACTTGCACCCATTATCAACAGAATACTTACAGTGAAAATTACAAAGATCGGGTCACTATAACCTATAGCTCCCATACAACTGATTGTTCAGATATCATTCGTTCCAAAATACATCGTACACCCACCCTGCCGGAACAACAACAACCAAAATGGAAATAATATATTTTCTTTTGAAAAATACCCAACATATATTAGCGATTTTGACCATGCCTACGAAACAATGCATAATCAGCAAAATTAAAAGATCTAGAGCTACATATGTCCATTACATATGTATGTCGAAGGCGAAATGTGGTTTCTTTTCGGATAAAACAGTTGTATACGCTATAGAAATTGGAAAATTTTGGTTGAGAAAAAGAAGTACACGCAGAAGGATTTCCCAAAAACGTATTGAAATATTACTATTTTTTTAAAGTGCCATTTTGGCACTTTGTGCCAAATTGAAAAATTAAGTGCCATGTAAAGTAAAATAGGGTCAAAAATGGAACGGTTCTAGTCACGTTGGCAGCCCCGAGTGTATTGTTCTGGGACGTAAAACAATGAAAAACTAGGAGACTAAAACTAAAGTTAATACAGGGTGTCCAGATTGTAAAAAAAAGCGCAATTTCTGAAAAAAAACGCCAAAAATCGCCAATTTTTTTTTTAAATAAAATTCATGAAATCGGTTTAACAAATCTTTTATTTTAAAAATTAAATCTTGTTATAATATAGTTTTTAAAACCAAAAACGAATATAATACCTTCAGAAGGTAATAATAAATAACACAAATCACTTATGTAATAGTGATGTACAATTTTCTCTAAAAATACGCATACTTTTTAAAAATATTTGTTTCAACACATATTGCAATATGACTGCGCAATTATTGAATTTATTATAACTCATATTAATTGACTAATAGCACAATCCGCTTTTAGGTGCTTATCGCTAAAAATAAAATAGAAACCTATAATAAGGCGATAATCAGCTATTTCCACAATTACTTTCAAAATCACCTATAGTTACGGTGATCATAAATATGGATTCAAAATAGAAGGACAATTTTTCAAAAATATGCCTACATATATTTACGT